CAAGGAACCAGAAACAAGTAATGCAGCTGCAAGGAACCAGAAACAAGTAATGCAGCTGCAAGGAATCAGAAATTTTTGGAAATAATTAAAATTTCGTAGTCATGAAGTGATATCCTGTGTGGTTTACCCTGTAATTTGCTGTTCGTTCGTTGTAAAACAAAGATACTTGAATACTCGCTGCTGGATGATAACATGGTACTTGGCCGGGAGAAGGATGGATGAGATTGAGAATAGATTAGAGAAGGATGGTTTATAAAAGAATGAAGGGAGATCAATTAAAAAGAGACGGATGGATGAGAGAAGGATGGTTTATAAAAGAATGAAAGGAGATCAATTAAAAAGAGAAGGATGGATGAGAGAAGGATGGTTTATAAAAGAATGAAGGGAGATCAATTAAAAAGAGAAGGATGGATGAGAGAAGGATGGTTTAAAAAAGAAGGAAAGGAGCCTAGTTAAGAGAAGGATTGATGATAGAAGGATGAATTAGGGAAGGATTGATAATGAAGGTTGATGAGAAAAGGATGGGTTAGATAAGGATGAATAAGATGAAAATGAAGGATATTAGGATGAATGAATGAAGGACTAATAAGAGGAAAATGAAGGATATGAGGATGAATAAATTGAGGATGAATAAGATGAAAATGAAGGATATGAGGATTAATGAATGAAGGACTAATAAGAGGAAAATGAAGGATATGAGAATGAATGAATGAAGGACTAATAAGAGGAAAATGAAGGATATGAGGATGAATAAATTGAGGATAAATAAGATGAAAATGAAGGATATGAGGATGAATAAGAGGAAAATGAAGGATATGAGGATGAATAAGAGGAAAATGAAGGATATGAAGATGAATGAATAGAGGATGAATAAGAGGAAAATGAAGGATATGAGGATGAATAAATTGAGGATGAATAAGAGGAAAATGAATGATATGAGGGTGAATAAATTGAGGATGAATAAGATGAAAATGAAGGATATGAGGATGAATGAATGAAGGACTAATAAGAGGAAAATGAAGGATATGAGGATGAATGAATAGAGGATGAACAAGAGAAAAATGAAGGATATTAGGATGAATAAGTGGAAAATGAAGGATATGAGGATGAATGAATGAAGGACTAATAAGAGGAAAATGAAGGATATGAGGATGAATAAATTGAGGATGAATAAGAGGAAAATCAAGGATATGAGGATGAATAAATAGAGGATGAATAAGAGGAAAATGAAGGATATGAGGATGAATAAGGGGAAAATGAAGGATATGAGGATGAATAAATTGAGGATGAATAAGAGGAAAATAAAGGATATGCGGATGAATAAATAGAGGATGAATAAGAGGAAAATGAAGAATATGAGGATGAATAAGAGGAAAATGAAGGATATGAGGATGGATGAATAGAGGATGAACAAGAGAAAAATGAAGGATATTAGGATGAATAAGTGGAAAATGAAGGATATGAGGATGAATAAATAAAAGACTAATAAGATGAAAATGAAGAATATGAGAATGAATGAATAGAGGATGAATAAGAGGAAATGAAGGATATGAGGATGAATAAATTGAGGATGAATAAGAGGAAAATGAAAGATATGAGGATAAATGAAGAGAGGATATATAAGTGGAAAATGAAGAATATGAGAACGAATGAATAGAGGATGAATAAGAGGAAAATGAAGGATATGAGGATGAATGGAGGATGAAAGTAATTAGTCTAAACAAGAATGATTAAGGAAGGTTTTGTCCCCGGAGTAATAAAAACTCTGGGCTAGGTGATTAGTAGGGAGGAGAGCAAACCAAACCTTAATCTATCTTCTCTTCTGTATCACACACACACTCACTCACACTCAGACCCCCACACCCTTACATGCTCAATCCTCACCCATCATCCAAAATTTATATACAATTTAAGTTTTTTAACTCTGCAAATGTTGAAGAAGTAAGATATTTTCCTAAAGGTGTCATCTTCTCTTTACAGTTCTTTAGTACTGGGGTCTATTTGCTGTTGGACCCAGGATTTGATTGTAACTAATCTAATAAACGAGAAGAACATTGGATAAAACAAGCTAAACATATAAAAACCAATAGGGAGGGAACACGGGGGGAGGATGGGGGGGAGGGGAAATATCAAAATAACCATGGTTTGGAAATAAAACAAATATTTTGTTTGTATGTAATAAATGCAGTTTGTGTAATATATAGATAATTGAAATAAGAACAGAATCAGAACTTCGCTTTGATTACAGTGTAGAGTAATTTGGCTTTCGTTGAAACATAAAAATTGAGTAATGGCATTGTTCAATACATCACTATTGTCTGGTTGACATAGCAAATGAGATCGCGCCCAGTGAAGTGGCGTTGATAGTTCATGGATCGTGTCCTGTTTGAGACATTGATCACTAGATCGCTATTGTCCGAGATCGCGCCCAGTGTAGTGGCGTTGCTAGTTCATGGGATTGTAGTCGTGTGGATTGTGTCCTGTTTAAGACATTCATTAATTGATTGCTAGTGTCCGTATTGACACCGATAGCTAACGAGATCGTGCCCATGGTGGTACTGGTAGTGCAACGTTGATAGTTAATGGGATTGTAGCCACGTGGATCGTGTTCTGTTTGAGATTCATAGCAGACGGATTGTACCTGGAATGATTCACATGGGGACTAACTTTTAAGAGTACGGCATTTACTACATGCAGTCGTTAATTTTCAAATTTGACCGTCTGTAAACCCGCCCGTTCGGTTCAGCCCTTTAAACTGCCCATTGGAGACAGACAAGCACACATAATTATATCTAGTAGGTTGGTAGGTTTGGGTTTGCACCAAAAAGCCTTATTTAAGCTTTTAAAAATGCAAGATTTGGAAGAATGGTACAACAATGAAAGATTGGGAAACAAGAAAAAGGAATAGAAAACTGGAAGCATTGCTTTGGTATGGAAGATTGGGTTGCACGGTTTGGAAATTGAAGAATGGGAATCATGGTTGGGGAATGGAAGATTGAGTAGCATGGTTTGTGAATGAAAGATTGAGAAGAATAGTTTGGGAATGGAAGATTAGGAAGCATGGCTTGGGAATGGGATATTAAGAAGCATGGTTTGGGAATAGGATATTGAGAAGCATGAATTTGGAATGAAAGATCGAAAAGAATAGTTTGGGAATGGAAGCATGGCTTGGGAATGGGATATTGAGAAGCATGGTTTGGGAATAAAGGCTTGAGAAGCATGAATTGGGAATGAAAGATCGAAAAGAATATTTTGGGAATGTAAGCATGGCTTGGGAATGGGATATTGAGAAGCATGGTTTGGGAATGAAGGCTTGAGAAGTATGAATTGGGAATGAAAGATCGAAAAGAATAGTTTGGGAATGGAAGTATGGCTTGGGAATGGGATATTGAGAAGCATAGATTGGGAATTAGGGCATTAGAAGCATGAATTGGGAATGAAAGATAGAAAGAATAGTTTGGGAATGGAAGATTAGGAAGCATGGCTTGGGAATGGGATATTGAGAAGCATGGTTTGGGAATGAAAGAAAGCTGAGAATGGTTGGAAACTGGATAAAATCTAATTGGGTTCAATTCTCTAATTAGCTTAGAGCTGAGGGGAAAACAAGGATAGATAGATAGATAAATAGATAGATAGATAGATTGATAGATAGATAGATAGATAGATAGATAGATAGATAGAT